TATAAAATATTTGAATTAAGTTTGAGAATATAATTCTTATTTATTTTTATAAAATGCTCTACCATTCTTTAAGTCCCTAAGAAATTTCAAATGACAAACTTTTCAAATAAGTGTTATTGAAAATTAATGATTTTTTTTGTTTAACTCTTTTTTCGAGAATTCAAAATAGAAAAAAAGTTTCTGTATATAATTACAAACATTTGTATATTTTTTAGCTAGTTATACGTTAAGATTATGATATATATTATTAAAGATCCAATTATTCTATCTATATAAATGTTGTAAGTTAGAAAGATTATACTTTGAAAATAATTGCATTGATGATAGTAGAGCTCCTAAGTGTTCAAATAAAATTGAACTCTCTTGTTCTGCTGTAAGGAGTACTAGAATAACTTATAAATTATGTTCTTACAATGATAGTTAATACTAAGATGATACAGATACCTCTAACTCAACAAAAGATACTTGTTTCTCAGGAACAAAAAGAAATTAAAAAAGGTCTGCTGATCTTAAATTTGTTGAATGCGAAACTTCACTTGATGGATCTTTTGATTTTCAAATTGTTTTTGGATGTCTTTTATTCATATTTATTGGATTATGAAGTTATTTTAATTCATCAAACAAGTCTATATTATTGATCTATATAGTATATTTTTGAATATTTTATATTAGAAATTTGATTGAATTTATAGGTTCTATTAAAGAATACCTGAGAATTACAGGAAATCTGTACTTGCTGCTATAAATTGATTAAACTAATATTCAATAGAATTTATAATTTTTTGTTATTAAATGTATTATAAATTAAGATTTATGACTATAGATTAGAACTAGAGAGTATGAACCCAAAAAATGAATTGATAATATGGAAAGAGTTTAAATATAAAAATTTTAGAATTTATTTGATTTTATCATATTTAGCAAAAATATTATAAAAAGAATGAATAGAACTTTCTATAGTGGTAAACTGGAAATAACCATTTGATAAGCATTTATAAGTGGAAATTCTAAATTAGTTTAATGTATTAAGGATTGAAGCAGTGATTATGATATCTTTTAAATAAGGACAGGGATGGGTAATTAATATAAGGAGGATAAGTAAAGATTAAGGCTTATTTAGTATTAAGTTTGAAGGTTTATTGGGTTTTTAATAATTACAAATAGCTTTATTACACTTTTAATAAAGTGTTTTCTTAAAGCAAGTTCTAATTTTTAACACATCTATGTCAACCACCAGGACTTGATCTTATGTTGCCATAATCTGTTCAGAAATATTAATAATGACTCATTATTATTATGAAAGGAATAGTTCAAATAAACTACTAAAATGCAATCATATACTCTGAAAATTTCAGGGTTTGATACATTATGTCCTTAACAATTACTTACACTTGACTCTATCACCTTTAATAAAATCAAAAATTGACAGAAAATATAAGTAAAATAAAGTTTTGAGTGATGAATCTATTTCTGAAACTTGGATAGCATAAAATTGGTATTTAATTCTTAATAATCTTTGGAACCCAAAATTACATGAAATAGTTAAAACCTTGGGATAATTACAGATAATTAGTTTGATTGACGAATTCTCAATTAATACCCATTAAATTAATAATGTGAACAATTATTATTAAGAAATAATTAGAACCTGTTAAAGGAATGAACATTCGTTTCTAGATTTATGATTTAATCAGAATACTGAAAAAAATATAAGACTAAGAATTATAGAAAAATAATATTTATAGATTTTAAGTTTGCTTATAACACTGCCAATCTGGAATTATTGTTTAATTTTAAAGGATATAAGAATATCCTTGCAATTACAGATTGAAAAGGCCTAAATTTCGCATTAATAAATAGTTATTAATGTCAAGAAATAAAGTTTTAAAGATGGAGTCACATAAGGCAATATTTTATCACATTATTTATTCTAAATATATATTTATATAATCATATTAGAATGCATTATTAAGATTTAGATATCTAAGTATTAAGCATTATTTAAGCAGATGATTTGGGTATTATTTACAAAACCTGAGTGTAGTAATATATTATCTAAGAATGGCAACAAGTAACCAAAAATTAGAAAATATACTCAATTTACAAAAGGTTCAAAAGTGAAAATAAGCAATAGTTAAAGAACTTAGTGCCAAATTTAAGCATACAGGTGGTTCCAATAGTTTTTAATTATTAGTATTGAAGTTGATTGGGAAGTTGATTGGGAAGTTGAAATGTCTCAACATGTAATTTACTTAAAAAGAAAAATGAATTTTTTCATGAGTAGTTTTATAAATTATTAATATAATTAAAAGAATACTCATCTTTTCTATTTATATGAGACTTCATTTATAAAATCTTTAGCTATGTTTAAAATAATACAAAAAGCAGACTTAAAAGATATTCAAAAACTGTGGAAATAAAAGTATGAGGAATTGTTTTTCCTACCAAATATGAAATTTGATTAGCTCCAGTTGATCTTAGGAAATGTATCAGAAATTATTGACTTACCCTATCTGAAAAAGAAGAAAAAAATACAACACAATCATTTAAATGTACCCAATGATATTTGAGAATTCTTGCAATTGCCAAAGCCATTTTATAAGGAACATACAATATTTAAATAAAATATTATTTCTTATAAATCCTTAATTTGACCATTTGAGTGGATGATAGGTAGTATTCTGTATAATGAAAAGAATGAAGATAACAATAATATCATAAAATCAGCGATTAGTTTTATTGCATCTAATACATTTCAGACAAAAGGAAATTCTTAGTAATCATCCTAGATGCCTAACTCTAAACGATTTGAATATGTTGCAATTAAATTTTACATAATTTAATTTTTAAACTAGATTGTAGGTTTACATTAAAGTAATAAGAATATATTAAACAGCATAAATAAGCGAAATCTCTTTAAAATTATTGTTAAAACAATATAATCAAGCAGTGAGTCGAATTCATTTAAGGATTTGAAACGCATGTCTATATACTTTAGTTATTGATTTTAAATTTGTTTAAAACTCTGATATTTTATTTCGATTTTCTATAAAATATATGAAGAAGAAGTAAATTCCGGAATAAAAGTAAGAGTCTTAATTCTTGAAATCTCTTATTTGTAACTTATCTTTAATATTTATACTAACTTGTTTATATCAAAAGATGAAATAAAACTAAAAGCTTATTTAATCAATAGTTGCTGATCTGACAATTAAATCTTAAAAAAAAATTAAAAGACTGTTACCACCTCATTAGGGCTGATAAAAAATTAGAAGTAAAATTTTAAGCAATAAAATTTGTGTAAACATCTTAATATCTTGGGAATGAGATTGATAGTAAAGGATAAATCAATAAAAAGGATATATTAATTTAAATTTGATTCAAGGGAATTTTTAAAGTCTTTAGATACCTTCAGTTTCATCTACAAGTAATTTAAATACCTCATTAATATACTTGATTTTTATTTAATAAAAGAAAATGTAGAAAAAGTTTCTATTGCTCAGGAAACTATGTCTGAAAGAATGTTTATTTTTACCTAAAACTACTCCCACCAAGGAAAATTTATTAGGATAACTAATCTAGATGTCAACTCTGCAAGATGATAAAACTGAGTACTTTGAAAAATGGTGTCAATGTGATTCGTTATTAAGTGATGCATTCATACAAAAGCTTGTTGGATTATTGAATATTTCCAAAAAATTTAAGTGCTCTCTATTTTTGCAACCTTCATTATAAACACATAATTAAAAACCCATTTGCAAAACATTTAAGTGCTCAAAGATGGTGACAAAGTAGAAATTTGAACAAGAAAAAAGTTTATGAGAAAATTTAGTGAATCAATCGATTTTATAGACTTGAGTCTTTATTACATAAAAGAAGAAGGATAGAATGAAACATAGAAATGATTGAGAATGAATGAATTTATATTGAAATTTTAATTGCTATTAGTCTGGTCAGTAGTTTTTAGCATACTTTACAGTTACCAGACCTATACACTTTATAACGATAATAATAAGCAAGTAATAGCTGATCTGATAGCAAAAATTAGATTTGAGGTTTAATAAATTGGTGCACTAAAGCAAAAGTTAAATTAAAATTTGTGAGCCAAGCATTATCAGGGAGAAAATCTTCGTTGAATTCTAGAGCTGTCTGTTTTAGTTATTATAGGAGTCTGATTTCCCCTCATGAATGTTCTCCTGCTCCCTTTTGCTGTGCTTTAAGAAAACACTTTATTAAAAGTGTAATAAAGCTATTTGTAATTATTAAAAACCCAATAAACCTTCAAACTTAATACTAAATAAGCCTTAATCTTTACTTATCCTCCTTATATTAATTACCCATCCCTGTCCTTATTTAAAAGATATCATAATCACTGCTTCAATCCTTAATACATTAAACTAATTTAGAATTTCCACTTAAAAATGCTTATCAAATGATTATTTCCAGTTTACCACTATAGAAAGTTCTATTCATTCTTTTTATAATATTTTTGCTAAATATGATAAAATCAAATAAATTCTAAAATTTTTATATTTAAACTCTTTCCATATTATCAATTCATTTTTTGGGTTCATACTCTCTAGTTCTAATCTATAGTCATAAATCTTAATTTATAATACATTTAATAACAAAAAATTATAAATTCTATTGAATATTAGTTTAATCAATTTATAGCAGCAAGTACAGATTTCCTGTAATTCTCAGGTATTCTTTAATAGAACCTATAAATTCAATCAAATTTCTAATATAAAATATTCAAAAATATACTATATAGATCAATAATATAGACTTGTTTGATGAATTAAAATAACTTCATAATCCAATAAATATGAATAAAAGACATCCAAAAACAATTTGAAAATCAAAAGATCCATCAAGTGAAGTTTCGCATTCAACAAATTTAAGATCAGCAGACCTTTTTTAATTTCTTTTTGTTCCTGAGAAACAAGTATCTTTTGTTGAGTTAGAGGTATCTGTATCATCTTAGTATTAACTATCATTGTAAGAACATAATTTATAAGTTATTCTAGTACTCCTTACAGCAGAACAAGAGAGTTCAATTTTATTTGAACACTTAGGAGCTCTACTATCATCAATGCAATTATTTTCAAAGTATAATCTTTCTAACTTACAACATTTATATAGATAGAATAATTGGATCTTTAATAATATATATCATAATCTTAACGTATAACTAGCTAAAAAATATACAAATGTTTGTAATTATATACAGAAACTTTTTTTCTATTTTGAATTCTCGAAAAAAGAGTTAAACAAAAAAAATCATTAATTTTCAATAACACTTATTTGAAAAGTTTGTCATTTGAAATTTCTTAGGGACTTAAAGAATGGTAGAGCATTTTATAAAAATAAATAAGAATTATATTCTCAAACTTAATTCAAATATTTTATAATTCAATGATGAAAATTGGCGTATCCAAATTTTTTAGTATTAAAGCAAATTTAATATTCAAATAAGTCCAATAAAATAAATAATAAATGAAAGCTTTCCTTTTAGTATGCCTCATTGCCACATCAATAATGGCTAATGAAATTGACACTCCTTAAGAATAAGAATTAAATGCATAACCAGATTCTCCTAGTTTCCTTCAGCTTTAGGCTTGTGCTGTTTGTTGTAATGGAGTATGCTGTGCTACCTCTGGTAATTGTGTCAAAGGAAAATGTAATAATATCATATCTCCGTATTGTACTCAAGGATGATTATATATTTACATCAAAATTAAGTTTATTAACATATCTATTAAACTACTCTTCCATATCATTATCTTATAGACATTTAGTACAATCATTGTCAAAAATTGAATTTCAAAATAAATCCTTGATACATATATATTCAAGCAAAGATTTTCAAATCAACATGCATTTGTATGATAAAAGATCTTCAAATCATCCACATATTAACTCATTTATTGATATTATTCATAAAAATTGATTTTTACTCTACATTCCAAATTTTTCTAGATTCTGCTATTATTTATAGAAAAATTGATGTAAGAGATGAGCTTATTATTACAATTTTTTCCTTAAATATCAATTTAAAAACAAAACAAAAACAAAAACAAAAGCTAGATGTTTTTCTTTTTTTTTTGTTTAGACTTTAATTTTCAAAGTTCGATTATAATACATTAGGTATTCAGAATAATTAAAGAATTAGCTATATAGCAATTTGAAATAAAGCTCATTATTCATTTCTAAATCCAATAAAAATTCTTTGAAGATATTTATGGGAAATATAATAAATTGACAATAAGCTATTTTAATAGTGCTAATTATATCAACTACTTTTTCAAATTTTATCAAGTTTCTAGATTAACAAAAAACTCAATTTTAAATTTTCTATACTTAGGAAATGATATAAAAAAGTTATTATTCTTTTATAGCTCTTCTTTTTTCCTTAAAAAATAACAAATCTCCCATTAATTAAAAAAAAAATACATATTAAATGAATAATCAAAATTTAAATCAATATATTTCCAAATAATTAAAAATGGCAATATAATTAAATTATATATCCAAACAACCATAAAAATGATTATTTTATCAATAAAATGATTTTTATTATGTGAAACTTTTACATGATTATTCAATACAATTAATTTTAGTATTATTTAATAAAATTATCATTATGATATCAAAGATTGAAATATAACATCATTGTAATACTAAAATTAAGAATTTATCAAAGATAACAACTTCTTTTATAATTTTTATAATAACACCATTTATTATAAATTTATTTAAAATATTAATTATATATAATTATTTTTACTAATTTCTGATTATATAATCAAACCTATTAATAATAATTTTGATTAAATTTATCTTTCAAATATGAGAAATCCTTTCAAATCAAAGTTAAAATATTATATGATGTTGTCATTACAACTTAATATTAAGAGAAGGCATATAGTTTCTATTCTAATTATTGTTTTTCACATTATATTGCCAATGACTATCATATTTTGATATTTAATTATCCGATATCTAAGAT